CCCTCCCAGCAAACGTTGTCATGAACAGTGACAACTTCCCCTTGCTTCAATTTCCTTACATACTGAAGCTGCGGGAGTTCCAAGGGCCAAAATGTCCACTGATTCCCTATTCCAATCCAAATATTGGGTGTTATTCCAGGAGCACTAACAGCAAATCGGCTAGGCATTACCAGGTGGCCTAATCTCCCAGATATCACAGTGAATAGTCCAGTCCCACATGCATCCTCCCCATGGACCCGACAGGATTCAGTATGTGGGAGTCCACACCCCTCCTACCGGCCCATATGCTTGGGAGGAGCACTGCGAGTATATACAACTCCATCCTGAAAATCTCCAAGTATGTCTCCATGGCCACAAATCAGATGGCATTCCTGAGGTATCTGTAAGGGCAGTAGGCCATGCCTCATGCTCAAGATCACTCCCAATGGCCATCAGATGGTCATTCAGGAAATCTTGAATTTCTGAACATGCCAAATCCCACTGCAATACCTTCCCAGCCTCAGTGATATTCAATACCACCTCTGTCCACAAATCCTGGTTATTGAACTAAGGGCAGAAATAACACGTAATTCACCAACTCCAGCTTGCACTTGGGTCAGCTATGCTCCCCTAATAAGACCTGTGGCTTTCTCTAATTGTCCTAATTTCTCGTCATGTTCTTGGCTTTTAAAAATATTCCAAATTGCTGCTGCACTATTGGCACCATCCCATAGGGATCCGTCCAAGTCCTTCTTCTTTCTAGAGGAAATAACCAAGGCCCTTTCCTGTGCTAATCTAATGGCAGCCCCTTTTGAGAAGTTTGAATATGTGGAGGTGATCTGAAAACTGGATAAGGGCAGTGTGAATTTAACAGTCCCTAGTGTAGTATTAATCACAGTTCATCGATATCCTAATACATCTCTCTTTGGTGTAGTACCACATCTGTTGGTTGTATACCTTTATATACTTCTGAGAGGCATTGGCATTAATGGCATAAGAGGGAGTATATTGCAATAGGGTACAGGTTACATTATTAGTTACTGGAATCATTTCAGTACAAGTAAACTTTCCAGTGGCAGAACACACTCTTTGAGTATGAATCTGATTATTTACTAATTGGGTAACCAAAACAATAAGGACCCCTTCCCCCTGATATACTACAGACCCCTCGAATGGCCATTATATCAACCCCATTATAAAACCTTAATTTCAAATTCTTGAAGCTCATTTGTAGTGATGTCATATTCTTTTATCCCCTTTGGCCAGACTTTTTCCACTCAATAGT